TTGTTGCTAAAACAAAATACAAAAACCATGCGAAAATGGAGAAAGAAGTGCAGCTGGGAGTTTGGATTTTGGAAAAACATGAGAAAATAATAAACTTAATGTGTAGGATTGATTAATTACAAAACATGACCAACCGACCAACCGACCATTGTCCTAAAATCTTAATAATCACCAAAATTGGGAAAACTAACAATATCAGAGTCTCACTAACCAGCAAAACAGGAGAAATTAAGTTGTCGTGATTGCTTTAATAAATAGAAGATAGTAAGTTGAGGTTGGTTCTATCACTCTTAGCATTGCTCTGCATCAATCCACTCCGCTTGAAAACTCGTCTACCTCGCCTAGTCAGCCGAAATTAACGTCTACATCAATCATCCATTACTTTTAATGTAAACATTAATTAGATTTGTAATCAAATCAAAGACCTGATTGCATCAAATTGAAGATGACTCCACAAGGTTGGATGACTCGCAGTCGTATAGGACCTCCCAAAATGCCCATATTTAGAAAATCCAGACTTCCATGTGCGACTTTATGTGGACTATTGACATGCAAAACATAATTTATTGTACTGAGTTATACACTGCATCGAAGTGGTATTTTTTGGAATATTTTTTCTGTAGGTCTTATTTGGTCGGTCAAGTCAATTCATCTCTGAATCTTTCCCTAAACTTAGCCGTAATTCATTAATCATCCCTTTGAATATTTTTGGCTCAAAATAAAAACCCAACTATTTGTATCAATCAAGTGATCAAGAAAGTAAGTCAATAAAACAAAGCACGCTACATATATTTGTTGGTATGAGTGTGTGAGCGTGTTTGAGAGATCAGAGAGATAAAGAAGTTACTGACTGAGGTCACGAACGGTGGCATTAACAGTGTAATGGCGCTGAAGTAAAAGCTTGACGAGCCAGGATGCTACATAGCCGGAGGCTCCTGTCACGCACACCACCTTACCCTCACCACTCATCTTCTCTCTTCAATTCTTGCCTCTTAATTTCCTTCGTCCAAGTCTTGAGACAAACAAAGGGGGAATTATTGAAAATACACAAAATTTAGCAATAGCCTTTCCAAAATACCCATTTTTGCTATTCAACCATATAAACTACCTAAAATATCCCTTAAAAACAATAATTGCAACCA